ATGCCAGTAAAACGATCTGCTTACGTAGCATGCCCAGCTGCAACAAAAGTTCCCTAATTTTCTCTCATCTTAATTAGTATTTTTTTAGTGCTACTGATTTTCTCTCTGACTTAGGAATCTTGTGGTTTACTTACACTGGACAGTGGGAGATTGCTCTATGAATTCAGTTGATCTCTTTTAGGGTTCTACCTGATGCTATCAGTAAGGAAATGTTGGAATTGTTGAAATGAAAGCTTTACCTGTAGATGAAAAGGGGAATCCAGACTTGAGCAGGTCAGGCAATCACTAAGTCAAGCAGCCTACAATATTTGCGCTGGCTTTGTGGGAAACACAGAAATACAGGTATATTGGAAGGTGGTGGTGCTGGTTTTTGTTTTCATTTGGCTTTTAGTGTAAGTACTAACAAAACCAGTCAAAGTCCTAGTTATGCTTTTGAAACCTGAATGATCTAGTCTTGTTGGAATAAAAAACCAGATAGTTTCTTGTGGTGGTTTAGAATCTACTTGAATAACTATTCCTCTTTAAATAGCTCTACTAAACTTACTGAAGTAGTTATAGATAAAGGCTTCTTTATTTGTTTCCCTTAATGAAATGAAGACTGTTTTTTAAGTATTAATTGTGGAACCACTGAAAAGATAGTTATTTGTTGAACCAGACTGTCACAAAAATTTGGCTTTCTATTTTATGTTGAAATTAATGGACTTTGATATTCAGTAGCAGTATTTGTATTTCCTATAGTTAGCTTCCTAGTCTTCAACTATGTATATTTCTGCTATTAATTTCTGTGAAAAAGAAACTACTTCTCATAGTTTGTGAAGGAAAAAAACTACACCCCCAAACAACTCTTATACATACTCCAGTGAAAGCCAAGGAGTTACTTAAAAAACCATCACCACCAAAGCAACCAAACACCAACCACAAAACACAAAACCAAAATTTTGATAGACTGGTATGAGCTGTGCCAAATTAGATGAACAGCTCAAGCCTCAGGCATATGCAAAGTGGAAAAACAGAGCTATTGTTTATTTGGTAGAGTGCCACCACTACATCAGTTTATAGAAATACTGTAAGTAAATACAATTGTTTCTTTTCTATCATTTGATTCACCCTTCCCACTCCTAATGTCCCAGAATGAGCGTCCTGCCAGAAAGATCATTCCCTCTGCCAGGAAAAAGGCCTTTTGCTGATCAAGAAGTTGCCTCTTGGGTGGTGTTGGGGGGACAGGCTGTCTTCTGCCCTTTGCTTTGTATGGAGCTTTGCCACTTTTATATCATCCTACCCTATAATAAATAAGATACAAAAAACCCCAACAACCCAATGAGGTGAAACACTTACATAAAACCTAGCATTTATTGAAAAGCTGTATTTCCACTTACTGTTCAGACAGGAGTAGTCAAGAAATGGAAAAAATGAAACCAAACCAACCTTGATTAATGTTTTCCGTGTGTATGAATGAACTTTAAAAAGCAGATTGTAAGGCCAAAGAGAACATTTCAAATCGAGATCTACAAAGAGAACCTAAATGGGTGTGCTGGTCAGGAAGTGAGGAGCTGCTGAGCTAGCACAAGCAGTGGGCAGCTTAAGCTGTTTCTTTGCCTACAGTTTGTTTAGAGGGAAATGAAAAAAGGAAGAGCTTATCTGATATGCGTGTGTCCTTTTGCATGATATTTTTATTATCATTTTCATTATTTAATCACAAATCCAGAATAGGTAGTTAATGTGTGCATAAAACATAGCAATAGCAAGTTGCGCCAGGAAGAGATCAGCGCTGAAAGGTGCATTTATCACTTTAAAATAAGGGTACAAGGGAGAAAGGTGGTTTGGGGCATGTGTGTGTTTAATTAAACGGGATATATATATGAATCAGGAAGGCAAACTCCAATGCATAAGTGGAATGAATGGACATTCAACCCAAATGCCAGATTCCTCCTTTAATTCCCAGCAGAATCAGGGTAGTTCAGTCTTTCTGGTCTTTCTGGCCTGCTGTGTGCTAGGCTGTTGGTTAGAGTTCAGCCCTCCTCAGTGATGGTCCTTCTTGATAACCGCCACAGCTCTGTTGGAGAACAGACAGGTTCCAGATACAAGAGCAAAGCTTTCTGGGGATCCATGAACAGAAGCGAAGGGAGCTTTTGTTCAGGCTGCTTGCAAAAAAGCATATAGATTGACACAGTTCTGAATGTGTACACTGCTACCTTTTACATTGTTAGACACTGCTGATGCTCCACTGCAATTTATGCTCCATGCAAGAACTGATGAACAAGAATGAGGGAAGTCCTGGCGTTGCTGGAGGTGATAGGAAGCTCCCTGTTGTGGAGAGAGCACTGTGGAAATAGTAGACATGGACTACTCTCCTTACTGGACTGCAGGTCCAATAGTAAGAGGAGAAAAAAGGAGTAGTGGAAAAATATCTCTAATGTGAATGGCCATAAAATAATTGTGCATAAAATTATGCAGAGTTGTAAAAAGCTCTTACATTCAAGCTTCTTACATTATTCTTTTGCCTTAATGTACGTAAAACACAAAAAAATTAGGCTTCTTTTAAGAGGCTATACTCTATTAATGTTACGTTTCTTAATGTGACATTTGTGTTCATGCTGGTTTTCTTTGTGGTTTGTGTGTGTATGGCTGAAGCGTGTATTTTTTTGACAAAGTAGACTAACAGTTAGGAGGATCAGTAAGTCTGCTTTAATCCAGAATATAGATTTAAGTTACTCCTTTTTAACTCTGCAAATGTATTTGTAAATCCTGTTCTACTTGCTCCTCTCTACAAATCTGACATTGAAAAAACATATCTGCACAGATACATTTAGTGAAATAAAGGAGGGTAATTTAAAGGTTGTTGTAGCATTTCTTAGATCATGAATCACTTTTCTGTATGAGGTTAAAGCAGAGTTTTCACCCTAAGGTTGCTGAAATTGCAGGATATCAAGAAAATATATTAAACTCATGACATGTAGGCTGAAGTCTTATTTCAAATTGACATTTTGTTGAATTTTGATGTATATATTACAGAAAAAATATATCACATAAAGGTTGAATCAAATCAAGAAAGCATTTCTACTGAAGTCAAGGAATGCAGACTGTATGTATAAGAAAGTTAAGGTTAAAATACAAATCAAACCATGTAGAATTTCAGTTGCTAATTTTAAAAACTTTTCAGTTCCTATTTCTTACTAAAAGTAAAAACTGTTTGCTTGTTTGCAGTCTAAAGACTACATAGAAGTTGGAGGCTTTTTGTGACAAACCTGTATCAATAATTTTTCATTCAGGATGTAAAAAGCAGTTAAATTTTGATGATTTTTCTGATGGTTAACTCTGATAAATCTTCAAAATGCTATAGTCTTTCTGAATGATTCTCCAAATATGTTTTCTTTTCAGATGTTATTACTATGAAATTAGAAAGACTTACTCTTTCAAGGCATTATATTTTTCTTAGTTGAGCAAAAGTAGTGGGTTTTTATTTGTTTTCTATCCACTTGCTGATCATTATCTGCTCTTATGGATTAAGGAAGAACCTTTTCTTCTTTGCTTATGAAAATCAGGATGCTCACTTAGGTCTCTTAATTCAAATGATCCAGATCTGGAAATTCTTGCCTGTAAGTGGGAATGTTGTTATTAGAGATTATGATATCCACAAGGAGCTGCCACCTGTATTGATTAAGAGAAAGGGTATTTTAAACGAGGTTTGGACAGGTGCAGGCTGTTGGGTGCTGACATGGTGGGAATGAGATGGTGCAATCAGTGCTGGGAATGGGGAGAGTGGTGTCTGTGGTCGGTGCTCTGCAGGTGGGAGTTGTTGGTTTGTGTTTTGGTATTGCTTCCTGAAGGCTTTCATAGTAAACATTTGTAAGACATCTTAAAGGTTACAGTCATTGACTAGCATTTAAATTACACTGTATCTGTTTTCAGCATATTCTGGTACAATGGGAAGCATAAAATGGGAAAAATTGATCTTATTTTATAGCATGAATATTCTCCAAAAGTGGTCAGTATTGTTGGGAAAGGAGTTTCTCGTCTGCTTTCTGTGGTGCATTTACAATTACATTTATGGGCACACAACAGGAGAGGTGAAGGCGTGTTTAGAGCCATTACAGCGGTTGCTACTCCACTTCCCCTCAGATCTCATTAAGGCTTCTGTCCCGGGGGGGCCCGCACCCTTTGGGGCAGCCCTGGAGCTCTGGCCCTCAGGACGGGTGTGCTTCTTTCCTGCCCTCCCTCAGAAAGCCTCAGAGCTCTTGGGTTCACATCCCTGTGGCCAGTGGTTTCATTGGGAAGATTTGTAAAGAGTGTGATCAGATTGCAATTTTAGGAATTTAGGAATTTATTTATGATTGTGTCAGGTATCTGAGATTCTGAATTTTGCTTCTTTTTCTGAAATTTGTATTGGAGTTTTCTATTTGTTGCAGATATTGCAAAGGCCTTTTGTCTACTTTTATTTTGGTAACTGAATTACTAAGGCATTGGAAGCATGCATGTGAAAGCAGTTTATATTTCTAAAGCTACCTAAGTAACTCCAGTATTTAAACACTACTCTTGATTTTGATGGTGTATAATAGGTTTTTTTTGCTTTTGCTTGCAATGCAAATACTGAATTTGATGCTCTATGAGGAATACCAGTTCACTTTCCTCTATCTCCTTCTACCCAGTTTCTTTATCTATATATCGTCTTGCGTATCTTGGAAATAAGTAATTTTAGAGTCATAGTCATAATCATATATTCCTTCCTGGCCATTTCTCCCTGGGAATGTTTATGTTTATTCCTGTAGGGGATTTTGTGTACACAGTATCTTGCATGGATATGCTTTGTTCCTACTATTTACCATATGATAGCTCTTTTTTTTTTATTGGATATTACACTGTCTGGGAGGAGAGAATCTGAAGAGGCATGTATTCAATCAGCGTCTTAACAAAAGGATATTGATTGTTGCAGGCATCTAGGTATTGTTTCATATAAGGAATTTCATACCAATAGTGTAATCAATTAATATTCTCTCTTTCAGGTTTAACAGATGAAAAAGTGAAGGCCTATCTTTCTCTTCACCCCCAGGTACTGGATGAGTTTGTGTCAGAAAATGTAAGTGCGGAAACTGTGGAAAAATGGCTGAAAAGGAAAAATAACAGACAGGAAGGTAAGTCCTTTTTATATATATATTTGCAATGAATACTTAGCTGTGAACAGCTGAGTTCTTATTTTTAGATTTTAAAAGGAAACTTAGTTTTGGTAAAACTTGACTTTAAAATTTTTATGTCTAGGTTCCACCATTTTTTTGAAAGGCAAAAGATGTTAACAATTTTTTAAAATATTTTCAGCCTTGTGGTGTTTATATTTTAGAATATACTGGTATTCATTTTGAAGGTTTGGTTTACTCATTTTGAGTTGCAAATGCTATTCCACCAACCAGTGATATCTGTTACATTAGTGTACATCTGGAGAACATAATTTGATCTTCTTGGGTTTAAAATTGGTAAGTTTTGAATTAAAATTCTGCAGGATGTGCAGGATGTAAGTGTGAGTAAAATACTGGATGTACCATCTCAAAAGTTCCTACTTGCAACATCTATTAAGTCAATTTTAGATATAAACATTGACACAGAGGTTATAAAACATTGTATTGTAGTCTGGAAGTATTTCTGTTGGGTTGCTTTAGGTATAATCCCTTACTTACTAGACCCAGAAAACTGTTCCTTATGAGTCAGCCTGGGATGGCAATGATCGTAAATTTTGTAATGATCTTAAATTTTGTGAGATTGTGTGCAAACATAAGATTCCTGCAATTCTAACAATGATTTGGAATGTACTAGGTAAAATGCAAAAGAGAACGTTACCAAGAGGGTGAGGAAAGAAAATCACTGATTTTACTCTACATGTGCGTTGTGCTCTGATTTCTAAGGTGTTTGGGATTAAAGTTCTGGTGATGATTTCCATTTTAAATAGAGAGGCTATTGCTACTTCCTAGAAGATAAAATGAGTGTTTTTTGCAGAATTATAAAAAAAGAAAATGGTGGGCAAGGGACAGCAAAGGCTGTATCAAGTCAGATTGTTGGTGTTGATGACTATATATTTGATACTAAGGTGGTAGTACATTTTTCTTGGTATAAAGAGGTTACCTAATGGAAGAGTAGAAGTATGTAGCAATAGACCACCTGTTTACTACTTTCTTTGTACTTTGCAAATTGTAACACTGCAGGATGGCTATAATTATAATCCACAAATGAAATCAGTAAAACAGTGTTATGAATCAAGTGACTAAGTCATGATGATGCTTTTTATAGACAGAAGAGAAAAAATGCTTTGATGTTACTAGAAACAAGTATTACTTATTTTAAAGATCTGGGTTCCTATCAAAATAATGATTTTTCTTTAAGGTGCTTGAAATCACTACAAGAAATCATTGCTTGTTTGAAATACAGTTTATAGCCTGGGTCAAGGATCTTGATGCTAAAACTGAGTGAATGCTTTGGATAGCATTTCAGCTTCAAGAATCTTATATTCTAAAGTGAACTTGCCACCAGTTGTTCAAAGTTTCCCTTTTTTGGTTGGATGATCTGAAAATACATTTTTGTGAAAGTGCTCATAAAATTTTTTAAGCCAACTACAAAAGCAAAGTAATGGCTGATAATTGTTTTAGTGAAGTTTTAACATGAATAGCTGCAATGGTGTAATTTGTCCATTGTTTTCTTAAACTTTAAAACTTCTGTTTTGTGGCTAGCTCTCCCCAAACTGTTGAATTAAAAGTGTCAAATAGTTATGCTGTCATTATCATAGCTTTATATCAGCTTTAAAGAAAATATTACTATATTTGCTATATAAAGCTACATAGCTTTAAATAGTAGCTATTTACTATAGCTATTTACTGTTTATAGCTATTTAGTAAATAAAGCTATATAGCTGTATATCAGCTATAATCAAGAGGATCTTTCTGTCTTCCATGCTACTTTCTTTTGATGGCAGTAATCGTTAAGGTGGCCATATTTATTACACTAAAAGGTGGCGATGCAGATGTGGCTTTCTTGGTGTTAGATTTTTAGATGAAAATAAGCAGAACAAGATTTAAAACTACACTTGCCAAGTCAAAAAAGATAATTTGAATGCATTTTAATTATAGAATGAAACAGATGCTCATGAGCCTTATATGTGGTTTTTTTCTAGGGAGATAAATGCTATAGCCATATAAAAAATGTCTCTGATAAGAAAACATCTTAATTTGTCAGAATGCAACATTTTTAGGAAAGAAATTTGCTAGATGATTTACTCAGTTCGTGTTATGTATGTACAAATCCTACTGCCTCAGTAATGGTGGCGGTGAGAAATGAGAAGATGGAATGGATTCTTTTGGTGTCAGTGTGGATCTGTGCTGACTTAAAGTGAATATGTAGCCTAAGTCACTTTGCATCTATAGGGGTATAATTTTCCCTCTATCCCTCTTGCTTTAGTGTAGTCTGCTTTACAAATGTTCATATCATGTAATGTGATACAGACAGAAAAAGAAGCTTTGTTTTTATTAGAAAGTTGGCAAGCAGGCAAAATGCTGTTTTGAGATCTCTGGCTTAATGTCTGTACTCTTACTGTTGGTGATGCAGAGCAGTCATTAACCTATATGCAGAAGTTGTGTCCTGCCTGATTTACAGGCATTCAGCTGTGGACTCTTCAGCTATAAGTCAGTGGGCCTGCAGCCAGAGTACTATATCTCAGTTTCATTAGCATGAACATAAACTGAAATGTCTGATTTGGACTTAAATGAACTAAAATTTGTCTGTGACTGAGATTCCCTGAATTAGTTACTTTAGGTGCACTTTAAAAAAAAAACAAAAAACAACCTCAACGTATTAAAAAGGGAGGCAATCAGTAAATACTACAGTGTTTAATGTATAACTGTATCCCAAAATAGTGTGAGTTATGTCATCAGTGTGTACCAGATAAATCTTGTACCTATCATAGTAAATGTTAAGTAGAAAGTTGCTCATGGCAGGTTGATGGTGATCTACCAGGGATTATAGAAGTTATTTTTTTCTAAATTATTTTTTTATTTTATTTTAATATGTTGGAGAAAAAGATAGCACTGGGAAGGAACGCTGTTCATACTGATCATAGAATCATAGAATGGTTTGGGTTGGAAGGGACATTAAAGATCATCAAGTTTCAATCCCCCTGCCATGGACAGGGACACCTCCACTAGAGCAGGTTGCTCAAAGACCCATCCAGACTGGTCTTGAATGCTTCCAGGGGTGGGTCATCCACAACTTCTCTGGGCAACCTGTTCCAGTGCCTCACCACCCTCACAGTAAAGAATTTCTTCCTAATATCTGATTTTTTCAGTTTAAAACCATTATCCCTCGTCCTATCACTAAAACTGACATTTGGGTATTCACTCCGACTTTTTGAACCCTGACTTTTATCTATTAATAAAATACATGCTCAAAACACAGCCAGCCCTTGTATTGTTGCACACAGCATTTCTAAGCAACTCTATTTGTAATAAACTAACACATGAGTTTTAAATTCTTCACATCCAGAGAATGGCTGAGTTAGGCACAAACCGGACTGTTTCTCATACAAAGTATTTTTGATTGTTTTTTTCAACGAAAATTTAACCATTTAAGAGGGTGTTGTGATTAAAGAAACTAATTAGATATTTTGTGGTTCATTTTAACTCTTCTTCAAAGTTGTTTACGTATTAGCTATGAAAGAAACTTGTTTACAGCTTAAGCCTACTACTTGTAGTCTGAGATCTGGTCTATATTGCATGCATTATGGCCTCATGGGATGTTTTATAAAGTTTATAGATTAGAAAAATGTCTCCATATAGACACAGTAAAAAATGCCTTTTCTTGTATATCTAATCTCACTTGAGGTGCTGGTGTAAGTTATATCAATAAGATACATGATTTTGCTTTAAAGATTCATTATAGCTGCATCTTGACAGAAGGAGATTTTTTCAATGGCCCTTAAGAATTAATCTGCCGGAAGGAGATCTTTTCTTTTCCAGATGCCTAGATATAATACTCTCAGAACTCACAAGACTTATTCCATTTATCCTTTTCCATATCATTCAAGCAAAAGTAACAGATGATTTTAGTAGGATCTATGAGATTATGAAAGTTTTAGGCTCTGCTGGATAGATTCTCATCTCCCAACAAATTTCTCAGAGAAATAGTTATGGACTCTTAGTTTTATTATTCAAACCTTCACTGCTACAACAATAGGAAGAGGCTAAGCACCTTAAGCCAGATGTGTATCTTTTACATTGCTGGTACTGAGTTTCAGAGGAGTCTTTAGTCATTTTGAAATGGCGTTTTGTATAGTAAGAAAGAACAAACTGGACTGAGACATAATTTCTGTGTGGAATATTGCCCATATCACCCCTTGCTCTGTGGGAGCAAAGTTATCACTTCCCTAAGGGAATGGCTCTCATGTTTTCAGGCAATGGGGATCGGGCTCAGAAGGAAAAAAGTCATACTGATACCTGCATGATGCAGCTGAAGAGACACAGCTTCAGTCCCTTCTTCCTCCTCCTCAGCGAATATATAATGAGTAGCGAACATCTCTGGAAAAATCACAACAGAATTGGTTTCTTGGATGTGTTCTACATGAGAGGATATTTCAAATTTGTTGGGTTTGCAATTAAATTTGGTATTCCCTTGGCAGGTATAGCAAAGGTTTCAAAACAATGAGTAGCTGTTTGGATTCAGATGTTCTTAATTTCAGTTAGGAAAATTATAAAAACCCCCACATTTTTGGTTTTGAATGATCTATACATATTTTTTTAGCCAAAGATTTAATTGTTTTGAAAAACTGAACATAAAATTCTAATGCTTTTTATAAGGGTAGGGAATCATAGAATCGTCTAGGTTGGAAGGGACCTTAAAGATCATCTAGTCCAACCATCAACCTAACTGACAAAAAAATAAATAAGAAATAAGCAATAAAAATCACTAAACCATTTTCCTGAGGACCATGTCAACCCATCTTTTGAACACCTCCAGGGGTGGTGCCTCAACCACTTCCCTGGACAGCCTGTTCCAATGCTTGATAACCCTTTGGGTGAAGAAATATTTCCTAATAGCCAATGTAAACCTCCCCTGGCACAACTTGAGGCCATTTCCCCTTGTCCTATCTCCTGTGACTTGG